CTGCCGCTCACGTTTTTGTGATCCTCGTTCCTGCCACGCGTGTTCTCGTGGTCCTCATTCCTGCCACATACATCTTCGTGGTCCTCGTTGCTTCCCTGCCACGCACATCTTCATGATCCTCGTTCCTGCCACGCACGTGTTGGTGATGCTCCTCGTTCCTGCCACGCACATTTTCCTGATCCTTCCCCCTGCCAGGCACACACGTGCCCACCACGCACCGCTCTGCCACGCGTGTTCCCATGAAACACGCCCAGGGAAGGGGCTCCGCTCAGACACGGCCCCATTGTCTGGCAGAAATGCTCTGCACATGATCCAGGTTTGGATTACCCATCCTTGCGCACGCACCAGCCCTTTGGGGGCACCTCCCTCAAGACACCGAGCTCCTGGGGGCTCACGGTCTTGCGCAGGAGATGGTTTTGGACCTGATCAGCATCTCCATCCAAACTGTGGGTTCTGCAGGTGACTGGAGAGCGGAGGGCAGCAGGACTGGCAGCGTGGGGCTGTGAAAGGGCTCCGTATGCCCCCACATGCCCCTGTCAGGGATGGCGGGATCATGGGCTCTGCGTGTCCTCCTCCAGCAATAGCTCCAAGGATCAGGCAGGTTTCTGAAATCTCTGAAAATTCTCCTAAAATCAGGGTGCTGTCCCATGCGATACTTGATCTCCCAACACAGGTGCCCGGCCGCCGCAGGCACACAGTGAGGTGCAGCACACCCAGGGCTCTGGCGGTGATTTTGCTCTCTGGATTAGTTTGCTGATCCTCCAAACACAACCTCCCCCCGTGCTCAGAGCCTCCCTGATCCCAGCTTTGTCACACAGCAGCTACGCTCTGCATTCAGGGGCCGATTAGCAGCAGGCTGCACAAAGGGAGCTTCGCAGCAGCAAGGAGCACAAAGCAGAACTGCAAAATCAGACGGGAGGCATTTTACACCCCCCAGGACCTGGCCAAGCTGCAATAGCCCCTGTTGAAGCTTCTGTCATGTCCAACAGTCCCAGCAGCACCCAGCACCGCTGCAGAGCGTGACCAGTCCCCTGTGCATTGCCCATTCTCTCTTCCAATGCCTTTCTGGGATGGCGACGTGCCTTGAGCTAAAGGCTGGCGTTCCCAGGAGCAGGGTTGCGTGGGGCCACCAGTTAGCAGTGACGGGGTGCTACAGCACACACCTCGGCGTGCCCCCAGCCAAGCAGCTCACCCTTCGGGCTCCTCTCGCTACGTGTTTACATGATCTCAGCACAACATATAGCCAGCAGCCGAGCAGCGCTTCGTGCACGCTCAGGAAGCGGAGGAAGAATGGGGCTATAATAAGAGCGGGCGGACAATGAGTGCTGGCAGCATGCAGAGGCAGCCCAGCACCCGTGGGGCCACCCAGCAACCACGAGCACTCGGCTCCTGGCTCTGGCCACCCTTGCACATCCCTTCTGCAAGCAGCAAAGGTGTTTTTCACAGGCCTCGGAGGACAGCCGGCCTTTCTGCAAACCTGGGTGATGGCTCCATGCTTGCTCACCTTTGGGAGACCGACATCGCCACCTCGTGATGGATGGCAACCCTGGTGACTGCCAGCCTGGCTCTGCTTTCCACCAGGAGCCCCCATTTCTGTCCCCACTGCTGGAAAAAAAGATTGGGGAGGCCCAGCACAGGCAGTGGCCACCACCAGTGGGGTCTGACTGGTTCAGCCCCTGGACCAAGGATCTGGGAGGACTCGGGTCCGTCTCAACCCAGGGCACTCAGAGTGATGGTCTCCTACCAGCTCCTGTGACAGATCCCAACCGGACAGATCCCAGCCTGAACACATCGAGTCTGTCTCAAAGCACACAAGGGATGGCCATGCTTTTTCCTTAGCACTGTCTTTATTTTCACAGGTTAACACTAGGCATGGAGGACATCCAAACACTATGACAAAAGGCCTGTTTGCCTGAGCCCACACACCAGACCTGATTCACATTGCTACACAGACCAAAAATGAATGGGAAAGAAGACAAAGAACACACAGAGCTTCAGTCTCCTGGGAGGGGTGGGACTGGCTTGGCAAATGCAGCTGTCATGTGGGAGAAGGAAGCCTTGAAGGCTTCCTGGAGCCAGCAGGGATGGAGTAACCTGAAACGTGGGGCTGAGTCCCTCCAGAGGCATCTCGGAGCGAGCAGGCTGGGAAGGAGGCTATAACGTTAGATTGCAGGTTGAGAGCCGATGCTTTACCACTAGAATAGCTCCCATGTCTGGGGACCCCCTGAGCTGAGGGGGAGGCCCAGGGGCCAGCTGCAAGTATTAACATCCATTAGCTTCCAAGCATCTGCGCCGTGAGGAAAGCCCTACCTCTGCCACTCAGCAGGCATCGGGGTCGGGTGAGCACCGCACACACAATGCTCCCACCGCACACACAACGCTCCTGCAGGCATCGGGGTCGGGTGAGCACCGCACGCACAACGCTCCCACCGCACACACAACGCTCCCACCGCACAACCCCTCTTGTCCCCTCCTTCACGCACTCCTCTTCAGCCTCAGGGCATTGTCCAGGGCAACCAGCTGGCGCAAGAAACCCCGGTTGGGGATGATACCGCGGTGGTCCTTGACCGTCTTTATGGCTTCTACAAGGGGCATGTGGTGGCGGATCATGAGGTAGGCGAGGACCAAGGTGGCCGACCTGCTCACCCCGACAGCACAGTGCACAAGGATCCTTCCTGGGGGTGAAACACAGGGGCTGTGTCACAGGAGACCAATTTAAAAAATACTGAGGACCCAACTGTTTGCCGTGGTGCATCCTGGAGCTGCGGCTCAGCTGGGCAGCCTCTGGGGTCAGACGTAGGGCCCCAGTTATAGCATAACTGCGTTGCACTTAAATTCCCCTCTTGGCAAAGGGTATCAGTGCATCGTGATCTCTAGCTTCCCACCTGTCCAGGGGAGTTTCTTCCCCTCCCTGCTCCCCATTTTTCTCCCAGCAATCTTTACCACCAACCTTCATTCAGCGCCTGGTGGATGAAGTCAGCTGCAGGATAAAAGTAGGGGCTCATGTCAAAGGTAGGTGAGTCGTGGGCCTCGATGCCCAGGTAGCGGATGCCCGTGCCCTCGTAGTACTCAGCACCCCCCCTCCACTTGCTGTGCGAGGCGTTGAGGATGTGGGTGATGCGCAGGTGAGCCAGCTCGCGCCGGTTGGCCGCTATATCTCTGCAGAGAGAAGGAAACAGTGCAGAGATGCATGAGTTTAGACTAGTTAAAAGTTTCCAAGGACAGTGTAAGGGCTGTCCTGAACAAACATTTACGTTTGAGAAAGCTTTATGCAAAGGAAAAATGCCAGACTCTTAAGATTCTTGAATTTTAAGTCAATCTCTCAGCTTATGTCCTTCCTCCTCCTCTGTCCGATGTACCACACCCATCATGTCCTCCTCTCCCTCACCTGTCCCAACCTTCCCCTCCCAGATTTCCCTGTTTCACAAAAACACCCTGACCCCCCAGTTCTTGTCCCCTTCCGATACATACTGATCTCCCAGGTAGAGTCCTGGCCAGACCTCGTCAGCATGGTTACAGGCTGTCTTTCCCGTGTACAGTAACCTTTCGAGCTCAAAGACGCTGAGGATGGGGTGATTGTTGCGCTCTTCGCGTGAGCCCCGGCTTGGTGACCTGGTGCCGTTCCTGGAGAACCTGGACAGGAAAGCCATTGGAGCTGCCGAGACCCACAAGGCATACCTGTGGGTTCGTGAAGGCCGGAGAGTGGCCTGGAGGTCGCTTCTGCTGCTGCTGCCACCCACGGTCCTGTCATGGAAGCAGTGGAGATACCGTTAGAAGAACCGGGGACCTCTCACTCCATCCCTTCTGTACAATTACTGGCCCAAAGCAGCCAGTTCTCACCTTCCCGGTGAGAGGGCTGTGTCGAGTCAGCTACCCACTGGTTCCCAGTGTGAGACAGAGTACCACCTACTCTCCCTTCCAAGAAGCAAAGCTGCTGGGGAGATGTTTATGGTGCCAGGGCTGGTGAGGGAAGGCAGAGAAGCAGCCAGATTGCTGAGTCTCCACAGGCTGAGGTTTTGCTCCAGCCCCACGACTTTTGGGTTGAGGCCACATTGGCAAGAGATATTCTACACCGGACCACCTTCCTTCTGAGCTGGCTCTGGGGCTTTGCCTGCCAGCGGGACAATGCCAGCTCGAGAACTGATGCTGCCAACCTGTGATCAGAAGCAATGAAAGGCGGCCAGGTCTGGGCAAGGCACCAGGACTGGGGAGGAAAAGCCCCCAAACAGGTGGAGGATTCCATATGGCACCAAGCAGAGTCTGGCCAGGACCCAGGCACAAAAGTCTGCGGGGAGTGAGAGGCAGGATTAACCCCTCCAAGTACAGCAGCCCTGTCGCTGCATTCGAATATCTAGGACTGGTTCAGGGTGGGAAGAGTTAATGTCAGGGGATGAGAAAGCTCATTTTACAGAGCAGATCCTCTAGGACACAGCTCTGCTCTCAAACCTTTAGGTCATGCCGATACTTGTCACACATCTGCCAGAAACCCCCCTGGACAGCCTTACCCACGCAGAGCCGTTACCCTCCCTGCAGCCTGATGGTCAGAGCTGCCTTTTTTTCCTCGTTTGCTGCTGCTCCACTGACGGAAACCCACACATGTGAGAATACAATTCTCTTTCCCACCATCACGCTGCTGCCCTGGAAAGTGTCCAAAGAGCATCCCATCACAGCCTCCCCCAGCACTGGCCAGTTGTCTCTGGGAAACGCAGGGACCTTGGGCTGGCCAGGCTGGATCAGGACACGTCTGTCTGCTTTGACATTTTGCCTAAGGCGCCGGTGCAGAAGGAAGAAGCCTCCAGCCATTTCTTGGCAATGTGCAGAGAAGGAAAACATTGCAAGGGCATGGGGGAGCTCAGAGGGAGTCCAATGGATGTCTCCATTCCCATTCCCTCTTCCAGGGTGGGAGTTCAGATCCTGCCCAGCACCCCAGGGTGCTGCACAGGATGGGTCAGGTCTGCCCGTGCTGCTCATCCCTGGCACCGAGCACAGGGTACGGGTCAGATCTCACCCTGACAGATCTCCCCTGCCCTGATGGATTTTGGACTCCTTCACGCTGGGCATTCAGACTTGGCACACTGCCTCTGGAAAAGGAATTCAGCATGGCTGTGTGCTGGGGCCCTTAAACCTTGTGTGACCTTGGCTGCAGCACAGCCACATGCCACCAGCCCCGGGGCAGCATTAGGACACAAACAGCAGAAGGGGCTGAAAAAAGCAACTTAATGATCAGTACGAGCCTGTAACTAACCAAATAGCAGACACTCCTATTGCTACAGCTGGCTGGTGAAATAGCAACCCACACCTAGCCTGGGATGTAGCTCTAGAGCCCCCAGGCCCAAAGCTGGCTTCCAGCATCCCACCCCCGACACACCACCGTGCCAGCCCCCCCAGAGTGCGGCAGCGGAAGAGAAACTGCCCCACGCCAAGACCTCAGAACAGACCCCAAAGCACGCCTGGCACCCAAAACCCTCATGGGCATCAGATATATCCCCCCTTTTGGCAGCCAAGCCCAGGGGCTTGCACCCCGCTGCCCTGAGCACGCTGATGGCTGGGGTGCCCTGGGCCCGCTGATGGCTGCCTCCGAGCCCCTCTGCCAGTCGTGCCATGCTCGGAGGGAGGGGAGAAGCAGCCAGAGCTGCTGAGATGCACAGAGCGAGCTCCGAAGAGGCACTGCCGAATGAGCACAGGCTGCTCAGCCCGGCACACGCTGCAGAGACAGACAGACAGACATGCAGGAGGAAGGAGACGCCCACCCCGTTACTCTACCTTTCTGAGAGCTGTGATTTCTCGGCTCTGAGCGTTGTAGTCAGATCCAGTCGGCCATGTCTTCCTGCTGCTGCTGCCGCTGCTGTAGAAAGGCTGATGTATGAACATCTATTTTAAGCCATGACATGTCCAGAGGCAGGTTTGTTTATATCATGCTGTGCATGGATGGATAAGGGAGGCATGAGGGAGACAGACACAAATGCAGTGATCACATGCAAGCATGCACAGACACACACAGAAGTGCCCATAACTACGCAGACAAAAAATAACATATCAAAATTCTCCTGCCAGCTTTCCTCTCACTCCTCCTCCAGCAAACCAAAAGCCACAGGCTCGCAGAGAAGGAGAGAAGAAAAAGCCGATAAAGTGGTGCTGATGCCATGATTACCCATATCATAACTCTGTAACTGTCTCTAGAGGATGCTCCTTCATTTCTTTTTTATAGTTGACCTTGTCCTCTCCCCTTGCTAGGGTCTCTTTGGCAGAGCCAGGGCTTGGTGACATTTTCTTCATTTGTTAAGAAAATAAAGTGTGGGGGGGAATGTATGTGGTGAGATGACAAATTATTTACAAAGTCACGTCAAAGTCAGGGAATACTTATTTCTGGGGAAAAAAAAAAAAGAGAAAAAGAGGAAGCTCAAGAGATGGAAGCTTTTTGTTTTGACATTTTCTAAATGACACCATTCATTTCAGAAGTGCTGCAATATTTCAGTTAAATATTTTCCAGGCAAAATATTCTCCTCTTCCCTTTGAAGTGCTGGCTTTCAATTTAAAAGTTCGAGTCAAATCAGAAAGTAGGAGTGTGGTGGGGAAAACAACCTGAGGAAGAATTGAAACACGCTGTTCCAGGCCAAATGACACATCCTAAGATTTATGGCATTCCCTCTCCCACTCCGAATAACAACTAGGAAAATTTCCTCCAGGTTTCCTGCAGATCCAGGGGGGTTCCATAAGCCCTCCTGCCACCTCAGGGAACAGAGGCTCCAGCTCCATCCATCCCAACCGCTCCTTATGGAGCAGCTCTGCTGTGCAAACACCCCCAGGGTGACTGCGCCCAGCCCTGGCTGCCTCCTTGTCCTTCAGCCAGGCTAAGGCAGCAGATGTGACGTGTCAGGTAGCTACAGTGCCACCAGCTCAAGGCGCACAGATGCAGAGCTACTACATACAGCCCCGCGGGCTGGCCAGGAGCAGCCTGCCCCACTCCTGGCATGGCCCCCCAAAGCTCCTGCCCTCGAGAAATGCTGCCCTGCCACCAGCTGCCTCTGCTCCCACGCAACAGGCAGAGGAACAGCTGCTGGTCCCACCCTTTGACTCCTGTTCAACACACGAGAAGCAGCACCGAGACCCGATTTATCCCCTTCCTCCTCGGTTTGCTCCAGCTCCTCCACGCCCAGACTTCCAGGGCACACAGGTGACAGCGAGGGACAGAGGGACCCCAGGAGGTCCCAGGCGAGGGCTGGCTTTGCTGCCCTCTCTGAGCTAACAGTATTTCCCTGCTGTGATGCTGCCAGCTTGGGAAAATCCTGTCCTGTATCCTGAACAAGGGGTTTGATTCCACTTACCTGCAGAAGGGCTGAGCTTCTCACTTCTGCCTGGCATTGTTCCTCCAAAAAACAGGGGTCGAGTGACCTAAAAGGAAATTTGCACTTTTACAGCTCTGTGAGACACCTTTAGCATGGACAAGCAGAGAGCCTCTCCCTCCCCTGCATCAAGGAATTACGTTCCCAGTAGTCTGTAAAACGTGCTTCTGAACAGGAGAACCCCCAACACAAAAGGTTAAATCTGAATTTAAAAAAACTCCTTGAAATAAAATTAAGTGGATAAATGTTTTGGCAGAGCATTGCCTGCAGGGAACTTGCTGGTCATTTAAACAGAGGATTAGTAGTTGTTATGTTTTTATTCCAATAATAATACTGGAATTGCTTTGTAAGGCAGCCAGAAGTCCCCAACAAAGCCAGTGACTGCTTCTTAGATAATGAAATCTCAGATGCTTTGAAATGCCTGGGCAGCTGCCTCAAGGAAAAGTGTCAGCAATCTATCTTTTTATAAGGGAAGCTGCTTAGACACAAAGCAGACCTCTTTGCCTCACCTCCTCTCCTGGTTTTCCATAAACATCAGTGCTGTAGCGGCGACTGAGCTGCTCCTTGCTCCCTGGCAGGATTTATCAGCTCAGTGCATTGCTTCTGAAGCTCCTGTCCTTGAAGGCAAGAGGCCACGCAGAGCATTGGAGCTGGTTTGCAGGCTCGGTGGGGCACAAACACCATTTGGGTTTTGTTGTGTCTTTCACATACATCCTGCTCATTTTCCCCACCTCCTTCTGATCACCCCCAGGTCAGAGTCCTGTCTCTCCCCTGAAGGGCCCCCAAGAAGCAAAAACCACTCTGAGAACTTACCACGAAGGCACAGGGAGAGAATTTAAAAGACAAACCCTGGAACTCCCTCTCCTCCTGGCAGCTCTCAAAGCTGTTCCCCCTGGGAACCATCCAGCTGCAGGACAGGACACAAAGGCATCCTGCAACCTCAGTTCCCTGCAAGATTGATCGCTCCATGATGGCTGAGCCCACGAACTGAGAAGGATCATCTGGTCCTTGGCAGATAAAGATGATGTGGGAGCACGGCTATGGAGACACAGTCACGGGCACCGCTGCAGAGAGCACCTGTGGGGCTGGATAGCTTAAGGACAGCACGGGGAGAGATTTCCTCCATCCCCTGCCTGCCGTGGGGGTGCTGCTGTTAGGACAGGGGTGGGACGCTGGCACATTCAGCTGTGATGTCCCTGTACCCCAGCTATTGTCAGGAACTGTTGTGCACAGCAGGCCTGCGGCAGAGAGGATGGAGCAGCTGTTTTCAGCTCAATTAGGGATGAAATCGGCTCCCAGCAGAATGAGCAGGGCATCCGCTGCTCCCAGCTCTCCCCGCCCTCTCCTAGACTGAGCTTGGAGCAGGCAGGAATCAGGGCTGGGGGCTGCAAAACTCACAAGTGAGCGGAGCTGAAGGGCTGCTTGGAAAAGTTCACAGCTCCAGCCACTGGGGGCTGCTCTGGTTATACATAAATCACCGTGCGGATTGTCAGACGTGGAAAACTCAACACAAGGCAACAAAGGGCAGGGGTTAGAGAGTTTCAGAGCTGCTATTTCCTGGCTTTATACTCCCCATGCATGCAAATTCACCGTGGTCTTCACAGCTCTATTTTAAAGATCAGAGATCAATCCCTTCACACACTAAATGCTGCGTGTCCAAAAGCCACCTGGAAGGCACCGGAGCCAGGCTTTGTCATACTCAACCATAAACAGAAAGAATATATGTATTTCATCCGGCATGTGCTGTTTGATGGACCCACCGCAGCCGAGGGTGGCAGGCGGAGGGAGGGCAGAGGGCACAGATAGCTGTAGCACAACACGGTAAAATAAAACCTACTAGAAGTGAACAGCCAGGGTAAGAAGGTGTCGGTGCTGTAAAGGGCAGTGCAGGATGGCAGAGCAGCGTCACAGCCACGGACTGAAAGGGGATTGAAGCAAAGTGATTTACTTGGCACTGAAACTGCCCGGGAGGAATTGTGCACTCAGCCGAGGGGCAATAAAACTGCCCGCTGGGGGAGGTAAAGCCACCACTCGCCCTAACTGCACCATGGATGAGGCATCGTAGAAGTGTGGTCCACTGCAGGCTGCCTCAGAATTTACCATAGAAAATTTATCTGAAAAGGCCAATCCAGGGTAGGATCAAAGTAATGAAGCAATAAAAGTAACAAATAAAACTCTCTATCAAAGTAATGAAGCAATAAAGAATAATCCTCACTCTCTACTTGTCTACATTTAAGTCAGGGATAAAGATTTCTTTTGGGGCTCCATACATGCTCTAGAAGGCTGGAAAGAAGTTGCAAAGCTCAAGGAGACCACCCTGCCAGGGGCTCTCCCCAGTCCAGCCCGCCCTCCCCAGCCTCTTCACCTCAGCACCTCTGGGGCAGAAGTCGTGTGCTGTTGAAACCCTTCCCAGCGCCCAAATAAATATCTGCTTCCCTGTAAGAAATGTGATCGAAGGTAATAAACCCTTGGAAGCGAGGATGTGCAAGTAACACAACCCCTCTGTGCCCATTCCAGTAACGTCAGCCAGAAAGTCAAAGCCTCGTCGCTCGGCTGGATCGATTCACTGCTGGAGGGAGCCACTTGAGTTCTGGCAACGCTGAGATATTTTCCATTAAAAGAAAGAAAAAGGAAAAAAGAGGAGGAGGAAATAGCAGGCACCAGGGTCATTGTCCGACAGCTGTAAAACCTGCAGAGCCTCAATTTGTGAGGAAGCAGTCCTTGTCCAGAGGCAGAAAGACAGCTGCTTGCTTTGTTGCAAACTTGCAGTGTTTATGATTACTTAGCGGGGAGACTCTGAATTGCTCGTGGATGCATTTTGCCTGTCATCCACTGTCTTGTTAATGTCAGAAACAGTCTGGGATAGATTTGAGTTGCTACAGCGCAAGAAGGAAAAAAAAAAAAAGAAATAAAAAAACAGCTGAAAAAACAACATGTTGCTATCAAAATACGCTGTGAAATTCTGATGCTTTCTGTCTAACTGTTCACTTCAGCTTGTCATATCTTGTTAGCAGAGCAGGCTGGGGCACAGTCCAAACCTTCTTGAAGCTGGTGGGAGGTTTGCTATTGACCTGATACTCATTGTGTTTCAACGCTCGGAAAGACGTCAAATGGAAGAGAACTGCCCACGCTCGCCCTGGAAGGGAGCACAGCTGAGACATTCATGATCCCCATTAGCAAGGAGTCTGAGCTACTCGCGCTTTTTAAAGGCTAAGATGAAGGTCACTTCTATCTCGCATAGCAAAGAGATTTTCAAAACGGAGCCAATCAACACTAGAAGCCAGTAGCTCAAAGGCAGAGGGCTGGGAGCACGGCGCAGGTCTGCGTGGACGGCTCTGCTCTGTAACTCCCCACCGCACGCGGCTCAGACCCACGTGTGCGAAGCCGCGCGCTCCCACAGCCGAGTGCTGATCGGTCTGTGGCACACTTCTGACTCTAGCAGCTCAGATTTTACTCTTGCAAATCCAAAATCCTTAGGGAAATCTGCTTTGGGGGAAGAAGGAATTATATCTGCGTCAGGCTTGAAATGGGGACCAAGTCGCTAGCAAACCCACGCCGACTTCAGGGAGGCTGGGACCTGCCTGGGATTATTTCTCTTCTTGCGTGTTCGTGGACCAAGAACTAATCATTATGAACGTGCACACAGGGCAGCAGTGTCTTTTTGAG